AGGCTAGAAAGTTCATATAATCTGGTTAGATGCCAATAGACAAGGTTGCACTTTGGAAAGCAGGAGGTCTTGGGTGATACTTGCCTGTTGCTGTTAAACACAGCTCAGTGCAGACAGACCTACCGGCAGTCAATGTCACAAATCTTAGTGCCGATGAGACAGAAATACAGGCCAACCAGTTGACATCTGCCACCATTTTTCCTACCCAACATACATGGAGGTTATAGTCTCCCATCACCTTCCCAAAAGATGTCATTAGGGTGGCAGATCTGGTGGTGGAAATCGATCCCACTGCTACATATGATGCTAGGTTTATCGCACTGCTAAAAATGACAGTAACTTCAGTTTATATAATCAATGCTAGCCATGGCGGGAATTCGCAACAATTCACAAAGGACACTCGTTAGTCGGTTAGCGGCTTTGTGCGCATCCTTCACACAAAGAGAGACAGTGCTGAACGAGACTATACATTGGAGTGGTTTGGTAAAGAGGCCAAAGCTAGAGGAATCCAAATTAAATCTGCATTCAAGCCAAGATGCTTATTAACTGCCCTGGGCTACTCAGAAACCCAACCTAATTTAACTTGCCATACAATAAAATGGCAGGGGTTAATTTCCTTAGAGAAATTAGATGCTAAAGAGGTAATAAGTAAAATTTGAAGCTATAATGTCAAAAGAAAGGATTGTAGTAGCTGACTCTTTAAAAACCCAATGATTTAAAGCTTGTGATTTGGATTGCACCGGGCTGGTTTGAAACTGGGTCAGCCGCCCTCTCTGTGTTTGGTCTCTTGGCTTCGACGCGGAGAGGTGTTGATGTTCCCTTCATCTTGGCTGCACTACAACCTTCAATCCCTGTTTTTAAGTGCCTTGTATTCTGCCAACTTCTGCTGCTTTCCTTACCAAGCTTCTTTTGCCAACTTTCATAATTAGCCTGTGACAAACAAGCAACAATTTTAAAAAAAATCCAGACAAGAAAAACTCAAATTCCATTCAACATCCACGTGACTGAAGTGAATCTCATTAATAGATTTCCAATTAATTTCAGCAAACTTTCAAGTCACAACAAGTTTTGCGTGAATCACAGCCTGCCCCTAAATCTTTGGAGCAAAACCCAGGAAACGGGGTGTGTGTGGGGGGGGGAAACACCCTACTTTGATGACTGTTTGTTTCAAAATGTTGTTTTAATTGAGATTCTGGATTATGGCTGCCAATTTATTCTACACAAAGTTTCCAGAATTTTTTTTAAAAAATAGAAGAAGTGTAATATTGCTCAGGAAATGATAATTAACCACAATTTCTAAAATCCTCTAACCAACATGATTACAGTCCAGAAAAGTAACTTTTCCAGCCTTTGAGGTGTAATTACATTTCCCAGTAAGTGAGAAAATCAAACTGTAGTTAAGAATAAGCTTCAATAAATTCTCAAACCAAAGCTGTCTTAAACTCTACTATGTGGCTCTTCATTTTCTACTCAGTCTGACAGACGATTTCAACTACTTTCCCACGCAGAGATTTTTGCCATCATCCATTCGCTTATTCTTTGAAGATGCTTGGAAATAAACCTTGGACAAAAAAATGGATGTGTTTTATATTGAATGGTAACCCTTTCCTGATTAATTGATAACACATGTGTAAACAATTACGAATTGGACCCTAATACTACGCTGAGGCTCCTAACCCTATCCAAACTCGATCCTAACTCATAATACCTAGCCATTATGGAGTATTTCAGCTCCATAATGCCTAAGACTCTTGCACATTGTCAAAAGCTCCATGCATTTTTCAGGGCCTTATCCTGCCCAGCATTTTAGATTTGTCCATGTAGTCAACAATTATTGCCATGCAGGACAACAGGGACCATGTCATGGGGAGCACACATTTTCTTGGCTCATCTCCTTTTTTACTGTGGGTGGAGCAAAAGACTCCACCCTCCAGGCTTCTAGAATCCCTGGCTCATGTAAGGACAAGCCAGAGTTTGTTTTCAAGAGAGATTATGCTTCTCAGAAGAGGGAATGGTTGGGAACCAGGGCCTAATCCAGACTCTAACCTTACACTTAGGCACCACAGTGCCTGCACTTGTCGTATAATTTGGAGATCTCCATGTGTCTGTCTCCTAGCACAGGTCCTGAGAAAGTCCCATAATGTATGGATTGGAGAGTTTTGCAGCTGATACAGGGAAACAGGATTCCTTCCTTCCTTCCTTCCTTCCTTCCTTCCTTCCTTCCTTCCTTCCTTCCATTTCCCACCTTTTCTCCAGCAAGATCAAGGGGGGTTACCTGACTCGACTCTCCTCCCTTTTATCCTCACAACATCTTTGTGAAATACATCAGACTGACGGACAAAGAATCGCCCAAGGTTGCCTAGTGACTTTTGTGGCTGAGCAGTATGATTTGAACCCAGCTCTCCTGACTCTTGATTCAAAACTCTAGCCGCCACACCACACTGACTCGGGTGGTGTAGAAGAGGACATTCTATGTGTGGTATCTTATCACTCAAGCTATCGTTGTTGAAATATCCTCTTCCATATTCTTGTCATCCATTTCATCAAGCTACTCTACATGGTTAGGGTGGCTACCATATTTTAAACAGTGGTATATTTTACAGGATCATCACATAGGATTTGGTGGTGTAGAAGAGGACATTCTATGTGTGGTATCTTATCACTCAAGCTATCGTTGTTGAAATATCCTCTTCCATATTCTTGTCATCCATTTCATCAAGCTACTCTACATGGTTAGGGTGGCTACCATATTTTAAACAGTGGTATATTTTACAGGATCCTCACATAGGATTTGAAGACGTAGTGTCTACACATAACCATATATTTGTTCCCAGATGACTGCTATGGTAGGCATGGAAGTGATCTCAACCTCTACAGCAGGTAGGCAGAAGGTCCACATAGAGCTACTGGGTGCTGTGTAGGTAATTTGCAACAGAACAAGATTTCTGGCTTTGGATTGTTTTAGAACAGAATTAACAAAATGACTTTCCCACAGACACCCTTAATTATTCTGACAACGTGAAGTGTCAAGCTGTCTGTAAGTCAAGGGTCCACTGCAGTGTCTACACATAACCATGTATTTGTTCCCAGATGACTGCTCTGGTAGGCATGGAAATGATCTCAACCTCTACAGCAGGTAGGCAGAAGGTCCACATAGAGCTACTGGGTGCTGTGTAGGTAATTTGCAACAGAACGACAAGATTTCTGGCTCTGGATTGTTTTAGAACAAAATTAACAAAATGACTTTCCCACAGACACCCTTAATTATTCTGACAACGTGAAGTAAGAAAGAGTAGCTTTGAATTGAATGATTATGAGTGCCATTAATTCTTTCTCTCTTTTTTTGTATTCAGTTTGTTCCCAGATGACTGCTCTGGTAGGCATGGAAATGATCTCAACCTCTACAGCAGGTAGGCAGAAGGTCCACATAGAGCTACTGGGTGCTGTGTAGGTAATTTGCAACAGAACGACAAGATTTCTGGCTCTGGATTGTTTTAGAACAAAATTAACAAAATGACTTTCCCACAGACACCCTTAATTATACTGACAACGTGAAGTAAGAAAGAGTAGCTTTGAATTGAATGATTGTGAGTACCATTAATTCTTTTTTTGTATTCTACAAGACCCAGGAGTTCAGAACTGTTTAATTGAAAGGCCGACAACATACGGCCCTTCAGATGTTCTTGGACTGCAACTCACAACTTCTCCAACTCTGCTACCAGGCCTTCAGACCCTCCTTGTTCGTATAGTTCAGTGAACAATCTTCCCATTTATGCATCTAGCCGTGTTACTGCTCTCTTCCCTCCTTTTTTTCCCAGGTGAACATTCTCTTTCCATGAAAATAAACTGATTTTCAAGTTGTGCTCTGTGTTGTCTCCAATGAGTGCACAGGAAGCTGAAGTACTTCCTAAAACTGTCTCTTTTGTCAGGCTATTAAAGGTACCTGATTTTTGTCCTCCTGGCATTTGATCGTCTTCCCAGAAACATAAAAACTGTGTGATACAAGTTTCTTCCTGTCGACTTTCCCCTTCTCTTCCAGGAAACCCATCTTTGTCTCTGCCTCTCAATCTCTCTCTCTGTTTGTCCTGTCAGTTACCTGTACCTTGCAAGTTGCCCACTGAAACCGCCATCCAGCTACTAAGCAGTTCCAAAAACAATCTTAAAGCATTGCCCTACCATCAGTCTTCACACTGCCTCTCTTATTCTCTTTTTGCTGCCTGTAACTGCCGCAGGCTTCTATAGGCATTTCATATTCTCTAACTCCTACAAAGGCACTCACCCGGACAAGGGGAATACAACTTTTTTGGATGAGAACTTTAAAGACTGCTCTGTTGGCTGGAAGGTTCTGGAAGCTGTCATCCCAAAAAGTATTGAAATCTAGATGTCTGAAAAGTTAGCATGTAGGGGAATTCTGGAAGCTACGGTTTAGAAAATTAACTTCCCTAAACCCTGTCAAAAACTTACTGATGTTCCAACTTTTCCAAAGTCTTTTGTCTTCCAAAAAATCGCAAATAATCTCAGAATCACCTAGCACTGGTGTACTTTCTGTTAAATGTGTTAAGGAAATGAAACTAGGGGATCTGATTTAAAATGACAGGGTCTCTGACTGTCCATCTTCTTGACAGCCAGAACTGGTGAAAACCATGCTTTTCTAACTTATAAAATGCATGCATGTTCTCACTGGGTCACCTCTAAGATCAAGCAGCAATTGGCACATGTGAATGAGTCAACTTGAGAATCTTCTATCAAACCTCACCTTTCCTTTAGACAAGGTGTTTTAAGTATGAAATCAACGCAGATACATTCATATATAAGTCGTATATGCTGTTTGAACGAACGACGGTCATGCCTATGTGGACAAGCTCATTGTAAAGACCACAGATAGAAAATATGCACCCACTGAATGGTACATGGGATAACACATTGCCATTATGGGAAATGGGACACAGGAGTTTGTTGAAGAATAAGGAATTTGTGGCAAGGAAACCACAGAACCATACCTCTTTGCCGGACTTCTCGATCTCCACTGTGACCGTGGTGTGGTTCTTGTGCTCCTGGAACATGCAGAGGTAACAGATGCAGACCTGGTCCGTCTGGCAAAAGAGCTCCATGGTCTTGCCATGGACAGGGCATTTTCTGGCTTCAAAATCCTTGATGGGATCCAGGAGCTGATGATCTCGGAAAGCAGCCCCTTCCAAGTGGGGTTTCAGGTGAACCTCGCAGAAGCTGGCTTGACACACCAGGCAGGACTTCACGGCTTTCTGCTTGTTGTCGATGCAGGAGTCACAAAGGACATCTTCCAAGACCCGGGGCCTCGAACTCGACCCTCGGTTGACCTTGTTGTAGCTGTTCCTCTTAGCCTCTCCTGACTCCCCAAGGGAGACTGTGGATTTCCTGAGGTCGGCAATGGGGCTGCTGGCGTACAGCGACTTTTTCCCCTCCCCGTCACTTGTGAAGGGTTTCTTGCCCTCCATGTTGAATAAGGATTTCCTCAGGTCCCCTCTCTCTGGGAAGGAAATTTGGGGCCGGCGGGTTTCCCCTAGCTGTACGTTGGGGAACGTTGGCTTCTTGACCTCTCCTGAATCCATATTGAAGTAGGTTGACCTCTTCTCATCTGACGATTCAACGAACTGGATGATGGGTCTCTTCCAGTCTCCTCCGGCATAAATGGAATTTTTGAGCTGGCCCGTTTCCAGAGAGGGGCTGGCATTGTTTTTATTTACATCTTTGTCTCCTCGATTAGGGCTGCTGGATATCTTCCCGTCTTCGCCTTCCTTCTTAGGAGAGACAGTCGTCTTCACTTCCTCTGGCTTTCCCATCGTCCCGTTTGCTCTGGCTGTCTCCATTCCTTACTCTTTCCTTCAGGCTTGGCTCACCTTTTTTCTTTTTTTTTGTCTCTTGCAACCTCCTTCCTGCCAAGAAAGGGTCAAATCTCAGCCTAGCTCTCGAGTGTGGCTGAAGCAAGCGACCTTGCCGGCTGTTGTCCCAGCAGCTAATGGAAATGGAAGACACAAAAGAGGCTCCCTAAATGCCACGCCTGGAAAAATGGGGTGGAGAAGCGAGATACCTGAATTATACTGGGCAGAGCTAGAGAGAGAAAGAGAGAGATGGTTTAAAAAAAACCAGCTGCACAGTTAATTATACAAGGCAGCCCACACCCAGAAACATTCTTGTCTAACCAGGTTTGGGAATGAAGAGCTGTTTATGTGTCCCTTTTTTTTTTCAAACACAATTTTCATTAAGAAGCAGCAGCAACCAGTTCTGCTACCTGCTTTAGAAATAGTTACCTGTTGACACCAAGAGTAGAATGACCTTTTTTAAAAAAGAAACATGGACAGATCAGCTAGGGAGACTAAACTTCATGGTGCCTGTTTCCATTTAAATGGGTCACTGGTGCACATGTGCCATGACACCTGGGAGAGAGAGAAAAAAAATTGGAAAGCCAGCAACGTTCAGCGAGAATGAGGAGGAAAAGCTCCAATACCAGGCTGGGAAGGAGTTAAATTCTTCAGGATTCTTCATTAGAAACAGAGAATAAGGGAGCTCTGGACTTTCAAAGGCCGTGTTCTTGGAAGTCACACACTTTAACCACCATTAAGGTGTAAATTTTATAATAGTCATCATCATCTTAGAACCACAGAGCTGGAAGGGACCCTAGGGATCATCAAGTCCAGCTCCTTTCAAGAAGGCACAAGTGGGGAATCGAACTCCCAACCTGTGATTCTTGGCTTTGACTTGGATTCCTGCATTGAGCAGGAGGTTGGATTCAATGGCCTTATAGGTCTCTTCCAACTCAATGATTCTATGATTCTATGATTCTGTACCTAAACCATGATCTCTCCAGCAATTTTTTCTCCATTTGTAAAAAGGGGGATTGCAAATCTCAAGATGCTAGAAATGTATTCATCAAGGTTTTCCCATATATGCCCAAGAAATTCCAGGGCACTTCAATCATTCCAGGGCATTATGGACACCAGTGTTTCTCCTGTGTTCCACTGGGCTTCTTTGCCAGTATGAACAAGCCCTAATCCCTCTCCAGAAATACTGTACAGAGCATCCTCTAATTTTTGAGAAATGCAAGTCACATTTTTTTTCTTTTTTCTTTTAACTGGGGAAAAAAAGCAAGGGCTCAATTCATAACCTGAGCTACTGGACTTCTCTTTTTTTCCCTTGGCTTGGCATTTCTTGAGCTAAGGTGATCTGGTAAGACAATAGCCTCAGGGGAACTCGAGACGATTAAAGAATGTTCTAGGGTGGAGTTCTGTGTTCTCAGATGTACAAAGACAAATATGCAGGGTTGTGTTTTGGTCTGTTTCCCTTTCTTTCCATTAAACCCAGATTAACACTTTAGGGAGCACAAAACCTCTAGCAACTAGTGACAGAACTTTTCAGAAGGAACTAATTCCTATCCAGCCACAAGGACCGGGTGAGAGACCATGCTGTTTGAGACTCCAAAGGCCTCCCAGCAGAAGGAAGTCTCAAATGGGAAGTGTTCTGCAGCAGTTGTTCCCAACCCGGGATCCCCAGATGTTTTTGCACGACAAGTCCCAGAAGCCCTCACCATGAGCAGCGTGGAACTCGTAGTTGGAGTACATTTAGGGAGCTAAGATTGGGAACCTGTCATTTTGCCCAGATCCCAAAGGAGAGGGTGTTCCATCCCTTCTTGAAGGGCACCCCCTTCCTGTCTTTCCACCCTTTCCTTCTGCCAATGGAGAAAGACTGTCTTAGTGAAAACAGCAGCTGTCTCAATGCATCCAATGGTTGGGCCAGTGCTGCTTGCCAGTTGCCACACCTCCCTCCCCCACAAAACCTTTTCTTAATGTGCCATTTTCCCCTAAAGTTACACAGCTTTTCCCTATGGGCTAACTTGTGTTTGTGCATATATCTTTTTTCTTGCCTATGTACATTTTTAGCTCTTTTCACATTTTCTAACACACACATACTTCTTCTGTGCATGCATTATTCTCATGAAATGGCCTTGAAGCCTCACAAAGGCATCAGCCTTCAAGGGTGACTTCCTCTCCCAGCAAGACTTACAAAATTATCTTCTTTGAGATTGTTGGATGCATCTACCACCAAAAAAATCAATCAATCTTTGCCCTCTGTGTAGCTACCTAGAGATGCATTTTTGTACCTATCCTCTATGGTTTTATCTTGTCCTCTTTCAATGTGATCTAATCAATTGTGATCAGTAGCGTGTCTTCTTGAAGCACATTCCACTGAGCAGAACTTGTGGCATGAAAGAGAGCTTTCTGTTGTTCCTCTTGGATCTTCTACTGAAGAATTTGTCCGGATGATCTACCATCTTTAATATGATAGGAAAGAAAGACAGACAAGCTTCCATCTATCCACCTGCTTATGTTATGTATAATGCTATAAACCTATCTGGTGTCATTCCTTAGTCACCTTTCCCCTGCTTTTGAATTTTCTCAAAGAAAAGTAGTCCAGCCACTGATTCTGTTGGTTACCTTTCCTGTAGAACAGGGGAAACTGGGCTGAAAAACTGGCAAAGAGATGAAACAGTGATCATTTTTGAAGAGAAAATGCAGATGATCAAAACAAACTTAGTCAGTGACTATGTAGTCAAATACTGCGGGATTTGCTATGGATATAAAACAGATAATTTACACTTTTTTTACTGATCAGATGACACAAAGGCCAATTTGAATCAGTCCAGTCATTTTGGCTCCCAATTCAGAGGCTTTTTGCCCCCTCTGTCCCAGGGGGCTTCTACTTTTTTAAAGCTGGAATGCTTTAAAGGGACAGAGCAGAGCATGACTGCAGGTGGTATTCTGGTGACATACTAAGCTAGGTGTGATGTTTTGGACAAAAGGAACCCACTGCTGCAATCTTTCTCCCTCCTGAAGATGTTTTCCAGCTACCCATTGTCAAAGCTTCCAACTTCTCTGTTTTTGGTGTATTGAAATAAGATAGTATGTCTTCCATTCCCCTCCCCACCCTGAACTGCCTGGGAGATGTGAATCTGACCTGCATTCTTAGCTCTTAGAATATTAATTGCTCCTCCATAGCTCTTAGTCCTTTAATATATACAAAAATGTGTGAAAATTATCCGGTCTTCATTTGACCCAACCCAGGAGCGCTTTTCCCACACTGTTCCTGCATCACCCTGCAAAATGCAGATCTGACCCTCTTATAAAATATGCAGATCAAAACCATGAATGCAAGGATGCTCAGTTTGCAAACCCAGGCTAGGTTTACATCTCATTTCAGTCCATGGCTCCCTACCAAATTTATACTAGTTTAGTGGGATAGGGAAAGTGAGGCAGAGAAGCCAGGTCCATCCCAGATTCACAGATCCTCTCCAGATTTTCAGACTTAACAAGGAATGAATGGCTACACTTGTTGTTTAGTCGCTAAATCATGTCCAACTCTTTGTGACCCCAAGGGCATGTGTGTCAATGTGGGTGTGCAAGGGGTTTACACTCAGCTGGAAAGCCTGCTTTCCATATTGAAATCAGCCTACCAAAATACACACACGCACACAAAAATAAAAATAAAACAACCCCAAAACTAATATCCCATGGTTGAGGCCCACCACCTCTTTGTGAGTTTTTTCCCCACACATGGGCAGAGAAGACAACACAGAGAAGAGGGATCGGTGAGTCATACATCAGCCAGCCCCTGGCACAACATAATCCTTCTGTCATCTTATTCTACTCAAGGTGTGTCTAGACAGCGTGTTGAGGGAGTGAAAGGTGGTGACAGATCCTTGCAATCGGCACATCTTACACAGCGGAAGTTCTTGCATGCTTTTTTTTAATAAGTATATTAGTTAAGTGTCCCATTTGACAGTGCCCAAGTCAACCCACGCTGGGCAGTTAGTTGGGAAAGAGCTGGTGTCCTAGGAAACACTCCAGACACTGGGTGCTTAAGACCAAACACCTCTTCCAAATGGAAGCAATGTTCCAGACCCACAAATATTTAGCAAAATCACACAGTAACTCCTCTCTAGATTCAACAAGAAGACTCCCTGGAAAAGCCCCTGATGTTAGGAAAGTGTGAAGGCAAGAGGAGAAGGGGACAACAGAGGATGAGATGTTTGGACAGTGTTATCGAAGCTACCGACATGAATTTGACCCAACTCCAGGAGGCAGTGGAAGACAGGAGGGCCTGGCATGCTCTAGTCCATGGGGTCACGAAGAGTCAGACACAACTAAATGACTAAACAACAAAAACAAAGATGGCAGTGGAAGGACCAATCTCACATTTATAAACAACATTTAATATAACGACCAGCCTACTTGTAGGAAACGAGTACATTCCAGAGAAAGGAGATCTAGGTCACATTTGGTCTCCTACACATTCTTTGGTGGAAGAAAGCTCCTCCTAGCCCTAGATTTTTCTCATGATTCCTCCCTCTTTGTAAATGTTTCACCCCAATTTATAATTTTCTGACAAGGTCCCCCTTAAGAATCTGCATTAAAGGGAAATAAAAATATGCACATTTAAGGCACATCTTGGGGCAGGGATCCCATCATACTAGCAATTAGAAGATAGCCACAAAACTATTCTGAGTTTTGCTCCCTTGAGCGTTGGTCAGTCCTTGGACAGACAGGCCAATTATCTGAACCAACACACAGAAAAACTGGTCTGCTCAAATAATTACACAGTGATCTTTGATATTCGCAAACTGGTCTTTAATTTTTCAGGTTAATTATGATTCATAACGATTAAAGCAGAACTGCATTTTGCCCATTCCCGCGTAAAACAATCAACTACTTTCTGTCTCTTGTGAATTGAGTTTATTAACACTTTCCAGTTCTTATGGTATTTCCCAATTTGTTATGAAGGCAACTTATCTCTTTGGAAATTTCCCGACTGCATC